ACATGGACAATGGACTAGTGGTTACCAGAGAGGGGGGAGGAGAGGAGAGGGGAGAGGGGGAAAAATTAAAAAGTAAAATGTTAAAAAAAAATTTTAAATGGCAAAAAAGAAAAAGAAAAAGAAAATAAAGACAATCTTGGTATCTATGCATGAAAAATCAATAAATAAATAGATGATAGATAGATAGATGATAGATAGATAGATAGATAGATAGATAGATAGATAGATAGATAGATAGAATAGATAGATAGATAGATGATAGATAGATAAATTCATGATCTTCAATACACTCTGTGTCCTAAGATAAGGAATGAAATAGAACATTTCAAAAAGATTTGATCAATACTGTTTTAAATGAAGCTTTAGCATCTAAAACAAAGTTTACTCATTTATCATAACTTATTCTCTGAAGAATTAATAAAGTGTGTTGTTGTACATAAGGATAGAGTAATTAAAAGAGCACAGAATTTAGGATTAACAGATTTGTAATTGAGGCTCACTTTTGTTTTAGCTCTATTTCTATCTCCAATGGTGTTTGTGACCTTGGAGAGTCACTTAATATACCCCCAGTTTATTTATCTGAAAAATGGGACTGTAAGATTTCCTTTATAGGAGTTCTGTGAGAATCAAATGAGGTCATAAATGTGAAAGACCTTGTAGACTATAAAGAACTACATAAATATCAGGGATAATTATTGAATGAAATAAAGCATTATCACTGCTTAGAAATAGACATGTGCATGAAATACACACATGCTCACACACGCATACTCACATATGTATACACACTTCTGCAACAACAAACCGGTTTGGGTACTTGAACTCTTCAAAATGACATTAAAATTTAAGCTCTTGTGCCACTTACTACCTGTATGCTTTTTGGTTTAATTTTATCTCTCCTGGCCACCTCCTTCCCCTCTCATCTTCCAGAAACATTTGTACCCATTAAGAAAATGTTTTTATCTACTTATTGTTGGGAGTGCTGCAACTATTTTCTCCTCTAATTCATCATGCATTGCCAGTAGGGAATGGGAAAGGATATCAAATGAAACTGGTTTTTTCCAGGGAAGCTACAAAGTCAACAATGGAAATCATATCTCAGAAGTTTTAAGATCCATAATAGTCTGTTTTATAATTTTTTTTATAAGGTTAATTTTAAAATATCTTATGCTTTTATATGTCAAACTCTCAAGTAATCATTTTTAAGTTTGTTATAGTTCTGATTATGGCTAAAGCATATTAATCTAGTGCTAATCCAGTTACGTTCAAAAGAAGGAAATTTTTCTAGCCCAGTTTTGAGTGACTAATTAACATAAAAATATTAATGTCAAATGAGTTGATGGAGCAACTGCAGTCAATCATACAATGAGGGGAAATAATTTCAAGTATGCTCCTAAGATTATCACCTCTACCCCATTATTTTCTCTGTTAGCTTACTTTAGGCAAGAAAAGTCTGTAAGACAGACAGATGGAATATGATAGGATATATCTATCAAAAAACCCCTGGATATCCTTGGACAAGACCTTATACTTAACAGGTGTTCATACATTCATCTATACAAAGCACCTCCCATTTTTCTACTAATATGCAACATGTCATTGGGCACACAGAGGTGAATAAAATACCTATCCTAACACTTTTTTCAGGCTTGGGTTTCCTTGCTCAGGCTTCTCTCTTTTGCTTGACTGCCCTTTCTCATTCCTCTCCCAGTTCAATTGACTTAATGTCACAAATCTCTCTGTGAATTCTTTTCTGACCTTCTAAATATACTTGACCAGTTCTCTTTTTTGTACAACTTCCTTGACCCCAAACAACAATCCTGTATGTGTGCTTATAGCAAGTTTTTGTACTTTTTGTTTTTTTCTTTGTCTTACCCATCAGACTGAATAACTTGAAACAGTCCCTGCTTACTCATTATAGTAACCATGGGGCTAGTTAACTGCTTGACAATTAGTGCTTGAGAAATACTCATAGATTGATACATGTTATTATGAATATTTTCCTGATGAACTAAGTGGCTAAACAAAAAAAAGTACTTAAAAAAGCGGTACTTGCAGTATGCAAGAGAAGAAAGATTAAGAAGCATGGGTAGAGTGAGATTTCGAAAAATGATGATGATGGTGATGACAAAAACAATGACTATAATGAAGATAGCCCCCATTTTAGCCAGCAATCTAAGTATTATAAATGATTATAAGGGACAACAATCAAATGACCACTGTCCCTGATTCATCTTACTGGAGGATCTGTGGCCATTAGAGACCCTCCCACTTCTGTGTTACAGAAATCCCCACAAGTGGAGATTCAAGTCCTGCACCTAGAGAGAGAGGGTTCTTGACTGAGTGCAGGAAAGTATTCAAACCCATGCCAGAGTTAGAGTCAAAAGGAAAGTTTATTAGAGAAGACATGACACTTCATAGACAGAATGTGGTCTCTCAGAGACAAAGAATGAGAGAGCCAAAAGGGACAGAGAGACCGAGAGAAAAGACCAGGAGAAAAATGACAGACTGAAAGACAAACAGACAAACAGACAGACAAAGATCACGAGTGTTTAGGGAATTCAGTTTATATATCATTCTTAGTGTCTATGAATTACATTTTAAAGATTTTGTTTACCTATTTTCCTTTGATGGTGTGAGTATATAGTGGGAAAGATGTGAAAGACATGGGTATGTATCAAGAAAGCCTGCTGGCAATCTCCAGCCTTTATTCTATAGGTTCCCTGTAGGGAATGAATGTTTGGGTTTATTTTGTGTAGGGTATACTTAAAGACTCTGTTTCCCCTTCTTGGTGTGGGTGAATGGTTTGTGAGTAATCCCAGCAGGCCTAGCAGGAATCTTCCTTTGTTCTGTAGGTTTCCTTGTGGTCTGGCTGTTGGGCTAGTGGGGAATTCACTCATCCATGAGGTATGAGGGGGAGGGGCAAGGAGGATGTTTAAACACTTAGGGAATGGGGAAAGGCAAGAGAACTCCCAAAAAAGAAAAACACATGTGCCTTCTGATATCCATCCACCACCCATTATCCTTCAACTCCTAACTGAGAACCACTTACACCTTCCATTTCCCCAAGTAAATGAAAAATAGCAGTGCCCGTATAGGCAAAAATGGACATGGTCAAAGAGCACTTCTCTAAGAGAGTTTTTAAAAATTGTAGAAGCAAATGGTCTACTTCTGCTGGGATTTAATGGAAGAAATACTTATACCAGAGAAAATTCTTTAAAAATATGATGGAAAAAGCACATTCACACTTGTGCTCAAAATTCAGTGAATAGTATCAAAAAGTTCAAAAACCCTCTGAAACCTATCCAAGTACTCCTTAGGGAACTGTAAAACTCAGGTTGAGACACCTTTTCTAGAGAGAAATCAGGTTCTAGTTATCAGGGAGACACTGACATCAGTTATGATGTCACCCAAATATGACGGTCTGCCACAAGGGACTGTACAAAGAAACCTCAGCCTTTATAGGGATCTATAGAACAGAAAGAAAATTACAGGTCACCTAGAAGATATAATAGTACTATTTCTGTGGTTCAGAACAGAGAAATAAAACTGGAAAGTAAGGGATAGAAACTAATCTGGGCATAATATAACAATGGGAGCCAGGAGTGTGTGAAAATAGATGTTTTCATATCTGTGTCTCTGTGTCTTCCAGCTCTTTCTCAGAGTAGAGACCAACTCTGGTGGGAAGATACATAAAACAAAATATTCCAACAATCTTCCTCATTGAGGACATAAAATGATGTAGCATGATTATGCCTATTTCTATATAAATATCAGGAGAAATATGAAGTTTGCACTGTGTACTAAATGACATTTGAATTAGACAACTAATTCAATGTCATTGCAGCTACTAAATATAAATTAGAAATCTAAAAAGCTTCCATAGGTTGAAAAGAGAAGAGTCTTTATTAAAAGTGCATCTGGATAAGAGTGCAGTTACAGAGAAAAGACACTAATATGTTCTCTCCCTACTTAGCTAGTCTCTAGAAAACAACAGAAATTTTTGCCTTGATTGCACAGAAGGAAGGAATACACATAAAAATGATTACTATTTAAGAAGCAAACATGGCTGGATAATGGAAGAAGTGACCCTTTATGCTGAAGCTGTTCATTTTTTAATAAACAAGAATTTCGGAAACCCATTATGAATTGACAATTGCAGGGCAAGTGATTTACCTCCTGTGAATGAAAGCTATCTTCTGGCTGTCTCTGCTGCTTACTTTCCTAAGACCCCTTCCATATATGTTCCAACTGCTTCTTTTCCACATCTCCTTACCAGACTAGGTCACGGATCTCACTGTCTGAGAAGAGCCAGGTAAACTGTGGGCCAGAAAAGGTTTCAAAACTACTTGTTTGCAGAGAAACAAGTAGTCTTAATTCAGCTTAAAATTATTCTTGTATCTGGTAACAAAATTCACCATAGCATAAATTTTGTTTTCTGCCTTATTCCTAGACCATGAAAAAGAAAAGCATTTACTCTCTGACATATTCTAAACATTGTATTTGATAAACTTGTGTATTGTGCTATATTTGTGAGTAGACACACATTACACTAGGCTAAAATCTCCTAACAAAAAGATTCAATCTGTTAAGAAATGTTTCTGCCCACAGCTCTGTAGAGGGTATCCTTGAACTTGTTTTTCAGACTATAAACACCAGGGTTCAGCAAAGGAGTAATGTAAGTTATAGAGAGAGGTCTATTGAGTGTTCTAACTTAAGCTTATGGTAGGCAATGGAGGCATAGCCATAATGAACAATGACCACAGTGAGGTGGGAGGCATAGTTGGAAAAGGTCTTCTTCTGGTCATTGGCTGAGACAATCTTAAGGATGAAGGAGATAATAAGAATGTAGGATATGGAGATCAGGCCCAAAGACACAAAAATCATAAATGCACTTATATCATAATTGCTTGTCTCATTGATAGTGGTATCAATGCGTGAAAGTTTCATGACTGGGTAAATATCACAGAAGAAGTGGTCTGCCACTATGTCATAGAAGGGAAAATTGAATGTGGCTATTATCTGGAGGACTGCCATAACCAGACCAATGCCAAAGGACCCACATACTAACCTAGCATGTTTCCCTTTGCTCATGATAACTGTGTACCTTAGAGAGTTGCAGATTGTCACAAAGCAGTCATAGCTCATTGCTGGGAGTAGAAAGCAATTATTAGTGGCCAAGATGACAGAAAAGAATATCTGTATTGCACAGCCTGCCAAAAAGTTTATAAAAAATGAGACTAGAAAGCATTCGTGGGACAATGACCAATGTGTATACTGTCTTTGAACTAACTAGCATGCTCAAGAAGGAGTACATGAGAGTGTGGAGATAATGGTCAATGCAGCTGGTGGTCACAATGGTTATGTTACCAGCTAGAGTTAAAATGTAGATAGTTGGGAAAACCACAAAGAGCATTGGTTGTCTGGTGTTTTCCAGAGATAGAGAATTCCAAGAAGATGAATTCTACTACTTCTGTGAAGTTCTTTTTCTGCATGCTGGTGCCTCAGTGTCTAAAAGCAATAAAAAGGGTCATCAAAGGGATAATTCCCATCAGAATTGGACTTTAGAATAAGAGACAAATAATAGCTGAACTGAGCCCAGTTCCCTCCTTTATGACCAGAGAGTTAATGTTTAACACCCTTGCGCATAAAAAGATAAAACTACTGTGCCTCTCTGGGGCTTATATATATGAATATTATCACTGTGGAGGAAACTATGTCCTGTGCATGGAGACTTCTGAGCAAATGTTCATCTCACACATTATCATACTTACGTTAGAAAGGGGAACAGAGGAGCAAGGAGAGAGTCGTGCTCTGTATCCCAATCAGTAATGATATCCACCACTTAAACCAAACTAAGTTAACAAAGGGTTTACTAGTAAGGTGCATGTCAAGAAAACCATAAAGATGAGAGTTTCAGGGAGAAATGACATAGCAGAATTAAGTAGTCAAAAAATACAAACTTTGAGAAGTGGTTACTGGATTTGGTGACAGGGTCATGAAGGACTTTTACATGGTGTTTCAGCTGAGTTCTGAATCTAAAAACCTCATTTCTGAGGCATAATATGGTCCAAACATGTCATCATATCCTCAAACAGAACAACTACCAAGACACTTCTGCTGTGATCACTCCACTGAAATTGTTCACTCAAGTCCTACCAAAGAGATCTTTTTTGTTGACTCTAATAGTCCTTTAAAAAGTGAAGTCAGTAAAAGAGAACTGTGACTGAGGAAATTCGTTTAGTTTCTACCATAATAGAGAAGGGTTAGGACAATTCAAGGTGTGAACAAGGGAATGGAAGCACCAGATTGAGAAAAGGAGAAGGAGTCTGCTAGGTACTTGGAGCCAAATGGCTTATCAATTTTTAAAAATCTGGTGAGCACAGAATTTTATATAATGATGAGAAACAGAATATACTAGTCTCATCTATCAAAAAGAAAAATACACACCTGTGTAGGAAGCACACAGCATATTCAGTGGTTCTTTATAGTGACCATTCCATTGTTTTTCTTCCTCTCATTTTCAGAATTACTGAAATAGACTTCCTTTCCCACTCCCCATATATCAATGAAAGTTGGCTTCACCATGTTCACTCCCACTAAACCGTTCCTTCAAATATCACCAAAGAAGTCTCCATTTCTAAAATTGTCAGACTTGGCTTTTTACTCTTTTTTTTTGTCCTTCTCCAATTCATTTGACACTTCTGAAAAATGTGCCTCCTGGAAGCATTCTCTGGCCTTGGTTTCCATGACACTACACTATTTTTATTTTCTCTTCTCAGCTCTTGTTTAGTTATCTTTTATGAATCTGCTCATTCTAACTGTATTGTAATTGTAAATGCTATTCTCTTGTTAATCCTTGGCCCTTGCTGCTTTTTTCTCTCCACACTCGCTTTCTCAATTTTTTGTTATAATTTTTATGTTAATTGCTCTCAAATCCTTATTTCCATCATCAATATTTTCCCCAAGTCTATGGTGTACCTACTTCTGGACTTTTTTACTTGTGGGTCTTGCAACATAATAAATTTTATATTTTCAAAAGCAAACTGAACATCTTCCTTCTTATATGTAAAGCAAAGCATAGGAAATATAGTCAATAATATGGTAATAACTATTTATAGTGCCAGGTGGGTGGGTACTAGACTGGTCAGAGGGAACACTTTGTAAATTATATAAATGTCTACCACTATGCTGTACACTTGAAATTAATACAATATTGTATGTTAGCTATATTTTAATAAGAATTTTTAAATAAAAAATAAAAGTAAATATACTTTTAATCTTACTTTATGCCATCCATCAAAAATAAATAAAAAGGAATTAAAGACAGAAATATAAAAGCTAAAACTAAAAATTCTAGACAAAAATATGTAATATGTAATATGTAATAAAATCTTCATGACCTTAGAATGAGCAAAGAGTTTTTAGACACAAAGCAAAAGGCATAAACCATTAAAGAAAATCACCAACTGAATCTCTTCAAGATTAAAGCTTCTAGTCTTCAAAAGAAATAGAAAAATAAAAAGGGAAGCCACAGACTGGAAGAAAATAATCACAATACATATATCTAAACTTGTATTCAGAATATATAAAGAATTCTTAACAACTCAACTCAATTCTTAACATTTTTAACTGGCAAAATATTTGAAGACAGTCACAAAAGAAGGTATATGAATGAACAATAAGAAAACAAAAGGATGCTCAACATCATAACACTATTAACCATCAGAGAAATGTAAAATAAAACCATGAGATATCATTACACACCCACTTGAATGGCTAAAATTAAAATCCTGACAACAGCTAATATTGCCAAGGATGTGATGGAATTGGACCCCTTAAACATCGATGGTATCAATGTAAAATGGTATAAGCATTTGGAAAACAGTTTGCCAGATTTTTAGACAGGTAAATATACACTTAGCCCAAGACTAAATATAGTTTTCCTAAGTATTTATTCAAGAGAAATGAAAATATGTGTCCATACAGAGACATGTACATGAATGTTCCTAGATGCTTTATACCTAAAAGCCATAAACTGGAAACTCAAATGTTCATGGTGCATCTGTACAAAAAGATACTGTTCAGCAACAACAACAAAAAAGAAATTACTAATACAAAGAACCACACGGCTGAATCATAAAAACATTACACTAAATTTAAAAAGTTAGACATAAAATAATGCATAAATTATGATTCTATTTTTACAAAACAGTAGAAAAATACAAATTTAATTTATACTGTGAGAAAATAGATCAGCTATTATCAGAATTGTTAAGAAACAGACTTTCAAAGAAAACAAGGGAATTTTTGAGATAAAAGAAATGTCCTTGATTGTGGTGGTGGTGGTGATTATACAGGTGTGTAAATTTGTCAGACCTCACCAAAATGTATACTTAAAATTGGTTTGTTTTGTTATATTAGTTATATTGTATAATACTTATAGCACAATATCGTATAATGTATTACATATTATAAAAGTTGATTTTTTTAAAAACTTCTTACTTGGCCACAAACAGGATTCTATCCCTGCAAATCCATCACTGCTGGACCCACAGTTCTTTCAGTGAGCTATTTATGATGTAAGAAACATGGAAATCCTCCAGGACTTGGGAAATCTGGAACCTGATCTAGAACCTGTCAATGTCAAAATATGCGGGTTGGGAGAAATTGCTTAAAATTATCTTTGGTTCTGTGACAGGAAAAAGCCATCCAAAAAATTTTTAAGTCAACAAAAACAAAATAAAAAACACAGTGTGAGACAGTGAAAGATGAAGAGACAGGGACAAAGAGAAATGTATTTGTAGATTATCCTCGAGAAAATAAGAACACTGCAATATACTAATATAATGAAGAGTCAGTATAAAAAATGTTTTAGTCATGAAAAATATATTCCAAAGAAAAGAGAAAGTAGAAAGTTTGAAGGTACAAAGAGGATTGCATTTATAAGAAAATAAACTATTACAGAATTTATTGATACCTATAAGAAATTGCATATCTGTTATTTAAATCTGAGTGAACCTGTTAGGGAAAAGGAAAGAATTTAAAATCTTCAGTTTAGGGCTCAATTTCCTGAAAATTGATATTCCATATAAATGACTCTTGCAGGAAAAAAAGAAAAAAGAAAACTTTATCACCTCTTATTCAGAGATATTGAAGTACAAACAAATTCCAAGTTGCCAGGGATGAATAAAATGGCCTTTTTAAAAATCTATGGTTATTACAGCTATTTGAAGAAGCCAGAGGAAGAAAAACATTTAATCATAGGATGATAGGAAAGAGTCTGCAAAGTTGAGGTTTTAGAACATGAACCTGACTGGCACACTTTTAGTGTTGCCCATTCCAGAACTCCAGATCCTAGCCCAAAATGGATAGAGGAGCAAGTGGGAGCCTGCCTAAGCAAAGAAGGACAACATCTCTCAAATCTGGTAGGATAGTATCTACAAAAAACAAACAAACAGAAAACAAAAAACCTTGTACCTCTTCAAGGATACATAATCTTACAATCACTTATATCTCCTTCAGATAGGACTGTAGCTTAGAGGAAGAGTGGCACATGACATTCATACTGGCACCACTGGCTCTGAAACTACACCTATAGGAGGAGGAGAAGGAGCCACTATAAACTCAGAGATCTAGAGGGGGAATCTCCAAGGAAAAGCCATGTTGAGTCATCTGCTCTCCTGGCTCTATTCCCTCAAAACTTTAGTATCTCAAGGGAACAAGTAAAAGTCAGACTCCAGACAGGTGTCAAAGGATCTTATTAAAAATGAGACTTCCATATTTTTCCAATTGATTGGTGCTTTGTGATTCCTGGAGCCACCATCTCAGATAGTTTTTCTTACCCTTATCACTGACTCATTGAGGGGGATGTCATGGACATGTATATAAATGAAAGAATTATTATCTTTAGAAAATGAGAGCTGTCTATGTAATTTCCAAGAGAGTAAGTAAAATTTACTACGTAAGTAAAGTTCAGTATTCCTCAAGGACACTCATTTGAGAAGGACAGATTTTCTTAGTAAATCTTAGTCTGAGATTAGTAATTAGGTTCCTCCTGGGAGACTTTCCAGTGGGTAGATCATGTCCCAGTTCTAATGAAATCAAGTCCCTTTCTCCTGAGTATCCCTCAAGATTCTTCTGAGACTGTAGCAAATGATGTTTTAAATTTTCCATTTGATGTATGCTTATTCCTCTCTTTCATACATGGAAACTATGAAATGGTGTGAAGACTTTAATGTACTTACTTCTCATTCCATAAGACATTCCAAAATAGGCCTAGAATTGTGCACTTTTGATTTAATACATGCATGAACCAGAACTGTAATCAACTACAGTGCCTGTTTCTATCCAGTATAGTTAAATGTTCTTAAACTTCCACAGTATTTCAATGGAAGTTAAAATAGGAAATTACTGAGTAGCTCCCAAATCCCGTTGGACCTCATGTTTCAAATTCAGTAATCTCTTGATTCAGTTTCTTCCTGAGTTTAAAGTG